AGGGCTTTTTAAGACTTTAAGCAAATCTTTTTTCCCAGGAGTGTCCCAGACTTGTTCCCTGAGCATTCCAGATTAGGCAGTGGGACCTCTTCACACCCACTGGGCACCAGCAGGATTGGCACAGAGGAAAATGAACATTTTTACTGACTGGGGCATTCATGTTATTGGGGAAAATGCTTTGTGTGTGTCTGTGTACTACTGGCAGGGAGAGATCTGTGTGTGGTGGTTGGTTGGAAAATTCTATAGATAAACCCAGCAGGATCTGGAATTTCAAAGTTGGGTGAGTGTCTGTAGTAAAACCTCACCCCAACAGTGAAAAACTGTCCAAGAATAGTGGGACAAAACCCTTGCTGTACTCCCTATTCCTTTTTTCTTACTTTTCCCCCCTTTTTCCTCCCCTCCTCTGCTGTGCCTGGGTTTGCCCTGCTGGGTGTGTTGCTGTCAGTGCTGGCAGTGGAGGTGATGGATGGACCCTGGAGTGGGAATATTCTGAGGGATGTCCCCATGAGCTCTTCATGCACTTGTCCCTCAGTATCTGCAGTTCCTGTTTGCCCTGGCAGGCAGAGATAGGGGAGGAATGTGGGAGCAAGTTGATAACAGATGTTCCAGTCTCCCCTGGGAGCTGGAGGTTGAAGGTGTGTGCCTGCCCTGGGTGGGCTGGCTGGAAATTCCCAAATTCCCCTGCTCTGAGCTCCTGGATTCCTGCAGTTCAGCTCTGCTTCCATTCTAATTTGTGTCGTTTCTCACAAATGATCACAGGGCTTTTCTTAAAGCAGTTCTTAAAACCTTATAAACATATGGGCAAACCTTTATGGGCTGTTTTCTCTGTTCCTTTTTTTTTTTTTTTCTTTTTTTTGGGGGGGTTTTAATCCCTTGCACTTAACCTGAGTTAAAATTCTCCCTTGACATCAAAATTAGAAAAGCTCTGTGGCAGGAACTCTAGCAGTGGCAGCACATAGTTCCTTTAATCTGGCATTTGCTGCAAACAGTGCCTTTTTATCTGGCAATATGAGACTAAAGGCTTACAGAAGAATGGTCCTGTTGTGTTTATTAAGACTGGTAACACATGACCAAACAAATCCTGTTAAAAGATTTATCTGTCTAGCTTAAATGAGAAAAAGGAGCTCTTCTCCATATTTTTAGTTGCCCTGCATTCTCAGATGCCTTCCTGTTGTTGCAGTCTCGTAGCATTTCTGGTGGAGTTGCTTTCACATTGTCTGTAAAACCTGACTCTCTAATTCTGGCTAAGAGGTTTAAGTGCTTAATGTGCAGAGTGGTGCTATATGTGCCTTTTGCTGTGGCAGGGCTTTCCAGGTGTCCAGACAGAACAACTGTGAGCAGGTCACTTGTGGAGCAGCAAAATCCTCCTCTCCAGGCTGGGACTGGAGTGTGAGAAGGGTTTTGTGGCTGTAAAACAAGTTGAAACTTTAATTTGAGCTAGATTTAAAATGCTGGGGGTGGGTGTGGGGAAATGAACCAGGTTTATATAGGGTAATGATCAGTTGAAAATAATGATTATGAACTTGTGCACTTGAGATTATTAGATGAAGTTAAAGGTTAAATTGTGCCTGCTGCATTTCTCCAAAATCCTGGTGGGACATTATTGCTTCCTCATCACTGCAAACCTGAGCATTTTAACACAGACAAAAGTAGTCAGTGCTTCATGGTGATGTTATTTAATCCTGCCAAATCTTTTGAAGTTGAGTATTTGGAGTGAAATCGACTTGGAAATGTGAGATATTTGTGTAGGAAAGCAATGGCTGTGAAAATTGTTTTTTATGGGATCCCTGAAATGGGAGCTGGGAGGAAATGGCCACTGGAGTGGAAATTTCACAGCTGAGCGGGCTGAGCAAAGTGTGGCACACACTGCCTCTTGCACAGCCCTCCAGCAAATGAAATAATCTGAACGCGGTGTTTGTTTATTCAGCGTTACTCCTCTGTGCAGAACTGTGTTGTGCAAAGAAAACAAACCCCGGGAAAAGATCCCCGCAGTAATTGCAATAAAAGCACTGCAGGGTTTGTGTGTTGGAGTGTTTCACCAGCAGGCTGACGGGGTTTGCTGTGCTCCAGCCTCAGGACAGGCTCCACTGCTGCACTTGACATTCACTCAGAAATGAAAGTTTGGCAAGGAGCAGCCTGCACTGCAATTGTGGCTTTCTCAGGGTTGTTTGCACAGCTCTGGCTCCTTGAGACTTACACAATGCGAGGTGGAGCTCAGAGTGTTTCAGATGCAGGGAAAATAAACATGGATGCATTATCTGTCAGTTACTGATCAACTTTTCTATTTGTCCTTAAGACAGGAACTTTAAAATCATTTTGCCTTTAAGTTTAGAGGTGTGGGGTGGTTGGCACCTTCTTAGCTCTTCATCCTGAGGCTTCAGGGAGAAGCCCTGGAGCTGGCCAGGTTTCAAACCCGCTCCTTCTGTCATTTACTACATCCTCAATAATGAAATGGTGACTGATGGGGATTTTTAAAATTAGAAATGATTTAAAGGAAAAAAAATGGACATTTTGCACTTGCCAGTCCAAGGAAGGTGCTTGTGCTGTAGCTGTGCCACAAGAGGGGTGTGATCCTTTCACTGAGGTGATTTTTGTATGAGCAGCAATAGGAAACCCCAAGCTCTGCTGCTGGGAATTCCCTCCCCCTGGAAGTGCAGGAGGTTTGTCCTGGACCCCTGCAGGCTCTCAGCATCCCTGGCAGGCTCACTGAGGCGTTTTCCTCTGCCATCAGTTCCATCACATGCCCTGGGAGCTGCCAGAGCTGCTGGGGGCAGAGCAAACACCGTCATTGCCTACCTGCCTTCATTATTCCCTACCTGCCTTCATTATTCCCTACCTGCCTTCATTATTCCCTACCTGCCTTCATTTCCTTCCTGCCTTCATTTCCTTCCTGCCTTCATTATTCCCTACCTGCCTTCATTATTCCCTACCTGCCTTCATTTCCTTCCTGCCTTCATTTCCTACCTGCCTTCATTGCCTACCTGCCTTCATTATTCCCTACCTGCCTTCATTATTCCCTACCTGCCTTCATTTCCTTCCTGCCTTCATTTCCTTCCTGCCTTCATTATTCCCTACCTGCCTTCATTATTCCCTACCTGCCTTCATTATTCCCTTCCTGCCTTCATTGCCTACCTGCCTTCATTTCCTTCCTGCCTTCATTATTCCCTACCTGCCTTCATTGCCTTCCTGCCTTCATTTCCTTCCTGCCTTCATTATTCCCTACCTGCCTTCATTATTCCCTACCTGCCTTCATTATTCCCTACCTGCCTTCATTATTCCCTACCTGCCTTCATTGCCTACCTGCCTTCATCATTTCCTTCCTGCCTTCATTATTCCCTACCTGCCTTCATTATTCCCTACCTGCCTTCATTTCCTTCCTGCCTTCATTTCCTTCCTGCCTTCATTATTCCCTACCTGCCTTCATTATTCCCTACCTGCCTTTATTTCCTTCCTGCCTTCATTTCCTTCCTGCCTTCATTTCCTTCCTGCCTTCATTTCCTTCCTGCCTTCATTTCCTACCTGCCTTCATTTCCTACCCGCCTTCATCATTTCCTACCTGCCTTCATCATTTCCTACCTGCCTTCATCATTTCCTACCTGCCTTCATTTCCTTCCTGCCTTTATTTCCTACCTGCCTTCATTATTTCCTACCTGCCTTCATCATTTCCTACCTGCCTTCATTTCCTTCCTGCCTTTATTTCCTACCTGCCTTCATCATTTCCTACCTGCCTTCGTCATTTCCTACCTGCCTTCATTATTTCCTTCCTGCCTTCATTTCCTACCTGCCTTCATTATTTCCTACCTGCCTTCATCATTTCCTACCTGCCATAATTTCCTTCCCGAGCCCAGGCACAGCCTCACTGCAGCAGCAGCAGCAATTTGTCCTTTCTGTTTGTCTGTCCCTTCTGTTTGTCTCTGCTGTTTGTCCCCTCTGCTCCAGGAGCAGCAGGGACAGGAGCACTGAGGGCTGAGATCTGTGCAGGACTGAAGGAATTTCCAGTGCACGGGATCAGGGACTCCTCAGCTGACTTCTCAAAAATCAAACCAGCCTTTTTCCCTCTCTGATGTGGTTTCAAAAGCCTAATGCATGGGCAATCAATGTTCTCAGGTCCCTGCCTTTCAGACATCCTGCACCCTGGGCTAATTCTGAGTTGCACCACGTAGTAGCTTCCTGGAAACTGAGGAACTGGATGTGGGCAGATTCAGCATTATTGGTGAATTAGGGGGAAAAAAAAAGATAATTTACCTTTGTGAGTTGAATGCCTCCTTTTTAAAATATCCTCCTTTCATGACAGGTCCTGTTTTTATATATGGAAAAGCAGATTTTGTTAGTGCTGTTGTAACTACTGTGGTTTGGTTTGGTTTCAATTAATTAATTCCTGTAATCTGTGGATTACAGGTTAGCTCTATTTTTGGCAAAGCAGGGTAGGGGCAGGACTTGCTAACAGATTGCCCTGGAAGTGGCAGATGGCATCCCTTACCCTGTACCAGCTTTGTAGGGCACGGCTTGTGAGTGGTGCTGAGATGTGAAACAACCCTGCCATTTGCTGAACTCCCTCATTTGCTTCCAGAGGAGAGCTGGGGACTCTTCCTTTTGCACTTGTCCTCTCTTCAATGTTTTATGGGGTTTGTTTTTGGCACTGGCACGCTCCCTGTTAGCTCCAGCTGTGAAGTGCTGCCTGTTCTCAGTGGGCACTGCCCATCCCAGAAGTTATTACGTGTTTGCAGCCAGCTGAAGAATTTTTTTAAGGAATTGAGGGATCTTTTTTGAGGGGTCTTTTTTGAGGATGGAGGTAGCCTCAAACATTTCCAGACACTGAAGTTACCATTTCTGTGAAGTCTTCAAAAGGCCGCTTTGTATTGTACTGCTTGTGCTTTCCACACTGAATTGCTTTGGGATGTGGGGTTTTGTTTGGTTTTAATTTTTATCTTAAGGAATTGAAGGAATTTGGAATACTAACATGGGCTTTTCCCCTCTCTGTCTCCCCTCGCCTCCCGAAGCTCCTTTTTGAAACGCCGGGGTTGCTGGAGTGGTTGAATTTTTCCTGGCTTTGCGTGAGAAATTCAGAAGACTGAAGCCCAGGCTCACTGTCTACCTTTCACGGAGGCCCAGCCGTGAGAGGACAGAAGAAGGCACGTGGCGAATCATGACGGCGGACAAGGAGAAGGACAAAGAGAAGGAGAAGGACAGGGACAGGGACCGGGAGCGGGACAAGGAGCGCGACAAGCGGGACAAGGCGCGCGAGAGCGAGAGCTCGCGGCCCCGGCGCAGCTGCACCCTCGAGGGCGGCGCCAAGAACTACGCCGAGAGCGAGCACAGCGAGGACGAGGACAACGACAACAACAGTGCCACCACCGAGGAGTCGGCCAAGAAGAGCAAGAAGAAACCGCCCAAGAAGAAGTCGCGCTACGAGAGAACCGACAACGGCGAGATCACGTCCTTCATCACCGAGGATGACGTGGTCTACAGGCCTGGAGGTAAGGGGCAGCCTAAAGTTATATCATGGTTAAGTTGCATCATCCTAAAATTGCATCATCCTAAAGTTACATCGTTGTAAAATTATGTCATCCTAAAGTTACATCATCCTAAAGTTACATCAGTCTCATTTGGTGCTGGCTCTGGTGGCCCAGGGGATGCTCACTGTGCTCCTAGGGGCTGGAGTTACCCCTGTCCTGGGGGCTGCTCCTGGGAATTGCCCCTTTTCTGGGGGCTCAGTGTGCTCCAGGCAACTGGAATTACCCTTACCCCTGTCCTGGGGCTCAGTGTGTTCCTGGGAGCTGGAATTACCCTTACCCCTGTCCTGGGGCTCAGTGTGCTCCTGGGAGCTGGAATTACCCCATCCTGGGGGCTCAGTGTGCTCCTGGGAGCTGGAATTACCCCATCCTGGGGGCTCAGTGTGCTCCTGGGAGCTGGAATTACCCCATCCTGGGGGCTCAGTGTGCTCCTGGGAGCTGGAATTACCCCATCCTGGGGGCTCAGTGTGCTCCTGGGAGCTGGAATTACCCCATCCTGGGGGCTCAGTGTGCTCCTGGGAGCTGGAATTACCCCATCCTGGGGGCTCAGTGTGCTCCTGGGAGCTGGAATTACCCCATCCTAGGGGCTCAGTGTGCTCCTGGGAGCTGGAATTACCCCATCCTGGGGGCTCAGTGTGCTCCTGGGAGCTGGAATTACCCCATCCTGGGGGCTCAGTGTGCTCCTGGGAGCTGGAATTACCCCATCCTGGGGAGGCTGCAGCCTTGCCCTTGCAGACCTGTGTGGGTGTGCATGGAAAGCTCCTGGCTGTATCAGCGCGTGCTGAGCTCCATCCTCCTCCTCCTCCCACAGGAGCCCTGAGCACTCTGGTTTGCTCTTAGCTGGACCAGTGTGAGTCAGAACAGGCTCAGCTTCAGTTCAGCTCATTTCATCCATCACTGCAAAGGAGCTGCTTTTTCCTTGGTGTCAGGAATATTTGTTTTCCAGCAGGGGCAGCTGGGAGCCTGCGGAAGCGTCAGCTTTGGTGGCAGTCTTATTTTCAGTGTCAGAGGATGAAAAATAATTCAGAATCTGTTGAGAACAGCTGTTGTGTGGGCCCAGGAGTACAATGTGATACACTGGCTTTATTGCAAAAAGGGTTTGCTTAAAATGAAGATGGGAAATCAGTTTGTGGTGTCAGTTTTATTCTGTAGGAGGATGGAGCAGCGGCGGTGGCTGATCTGGAGGAGGTTGTCCAAGGAAAGAGCAAGGAGAGCCATTCTATTGGTGATAATGGGAATATTTTGTAGCTCTTCTGTAACTTAAACCCCTGTTTATTAAATATACATTTTGTTAATAGTAATCAGCATAAGAGATGTGCCCTGGCATTGAAACTTTTCTGTTGTGTTGGCTCTTTGTGCTGTTGGAAAACTTGTCTTGGAAACTGCTGAGAGTGGAGAGAACAGACATGAGCTCAGCCCTGCAGGGACCTGAGCATGGCTGGGACCTGAACTGAATATACCCATTTTAAATTAGATTTTAAAGGGAATTTCTTGTCAGGAGTGAGATCTTGACTCCACATCCCTGTGCTGGAGGTTTTCTAAACCAATGTGAGCATCCGTTGCAGAAGGAGCTCTTCCAGCTCCGTACACACAGGGAGATGTAGTTGTGGTTAAGGGTGAAAATTACAGAAATTTTAAGAGAGATTAGAGAGTTTAAATTAATGAGACACAGCAAGGATTACAGAGATGAAAATTAAAGGTGTGTGCAGAGGGGATAGCCATCTTCAGCTTACATCTTCTGGCCTTTAAGGAGGGGAAATCCTTTCCAATCATTTGACTCTTTCTCTTAAGTGCTCTCATCTGACGTGGATGAAAGTTCAAGGTCTGCATTTCTTGGTTAAAATCTCATTCTGTGTTTACCCCATTGCTGTAGAGTTCTTAATCCAGCACTTAATTCTGCTTTTTTCCCTGTGCTGAGCTCAGCAGCTGTATTGGAGTAATAGCAAATAAACTGTAAATAAACAGATAATCAAGATCATTGAGTTTTTTTCAAGGGAAAGGTTTCACTGTATTGTTACCATGTAAATGCTGCTCTTATTAATTTGCATAGATATAATGAATGCTGCACAGCTTTAAATAATGTATTAAAAAGAATTGAGTAGGGCTTAGACAACACTGTGCAATTAATCTTCTCTGCTTTGCTGGAAATCACACAGGCCTAGCCTAAAAGCTTGTTGGCCCAGTTCCCCATCTGTCCTCTCAGTCTCCACACCCTCCCTCCCATTTCCTTCCAAATCTGCTCTCTGGGGTTTTCCTCCTTCTTTCCCTTGCAGTTCTCACCTTGCTGTTGTCACACTGCCTGTTGGAGTGGCATTAATTTCTGTTGCACAAATTCAAATTTGCTTTAGGCTGCCTTAGCCCAGGGAGATGCCAGTGAAAGAGAGTTGCGTTAAAACTGAGAGTTTTTTTTTCTCCTCTTGGATTTCGGTGAGATCATTTAATGCTGATTTTCCTTCCATTTCCCATGCAGAATGATCCCTTCTATGTCCCTGGCTTGTGCCAAAATCCCCCTCAGAAGGGCTGGGATTGAATTGAAGCCCCAGGATCAGCGCTGAGGATGTTGTGGTGCTGTGGTGGCACCTGGAGTGCTGGGTTAAATCTGGTTTGGCGCCTGGCAGAGCAGGTGACTGTCACCTGCAGCTGGGGACAGCATTGCTCGCTCTGCCTACGTAGAGCCATTTAAAGGGATCTGCAGGAATTAAAGGGATTTGTGGGGCTCTGTTCCTGCAGTGACATCAGTGGCTGCACAAACAGCCCTTCAGCAGGGGCTGAGGCAGGGGAAATGCTGGAATGCCTGCAGGAGCCGGGCAGGGGAGGGCAGCTGCTCATCAGTGTCACAAAAATCTGATTTTCCTCCTCTGGACATGCCTGTGCCCAGGGCTGTGCTCTGTGTCTGACCAGCAAGGGGAAGGGAGGGGTCACTAGCAGGGAAATGGGAAATGCTGACATTGTTTTCTCTTTGAGGATACACAAATAAAGCCCATCCCCATGTTGACGAGGCACTGAGGTGTGTCACACTTGAGGGGAGCTGAGGAGCCACTTTGGTGTTTGTAGTGGCCTTGGGAGCCGCAGTTTTCTCTCTGAGCTCTCCTGGTGTGCTCGAGGCTGTTCAGAATAAGTCAGTGATGTCCTGCAGTCCTGTGGTGCAGTTTTGGGGCTCTTTGTCCCTGTGTCCCCCCTCTGGCCATGAGGAGCTTTGGGACAGGGGGGATTTGTGGGACATCACCGAGGGCAAGTCTGGCACCTCCAGCAAAGGTTTCCTGTGGCCCTCAAAGGGCAGGAAAAGCCTGTGAGGGCTGGCACACGTGCAGCAAAGCTTGTCTGTGCTAGAGGAGGAGTTTCAGACTAACTGGTTATTTAATGAATTTCTTTTATCAGCCTGGATTCTTGTTCCCACCCCTCCTCCCTTTTCATGTGTTTAATTGAGAAAACACCTCCAGGGCAGGGGGAGCCCTGGCAGGAGGTGGGGCCGAGCAGCCACAGGGTCTTTGCTGGCAGTGTGGCATTTTTGGGGCGCAACTTGTGAAAAGGTGTTTATTTGTACAGATCTGTTAATGAAGCATGTGTGGGTGCACCTTGCAAGGAGAGCTGTGCAGTGTGGTGGACATGCTTGAAAAGTGCAGGAAAATAATTGCTGTGGGAAATGATGTAGCTGGGGGCCTGAGCTGCAGAACAGTTGCTTTTATGAAATTGGGAACTGCAGAGTACAATTAGCTGTCATTAATTTTGTTGAATAGAAATATGTTCCATTTATTGTACAATCAGGAGCCAGGCTTGAATGAGTTTAAATAGATGAAATCTAAATTATACTGACAGTCCATTAAACAGCAGCAAAACCCCTTAAAGAAAATGGATTCACTATGATACCGGTTTATAATAAAATCATTTGCCAAATAAGAACTATAGTCCAGGCACCGGGAATACTCCTGTGAGCTTCAAATGAACACAGTAAATTGGTTGAGCCATTTATTGCAGAGAGGGCTCCAGCTCCTGTTCCCTGACAAGGAGCCAGCAGCGCTGCCTGAAATCTGCTCAGCAGGGAGAGCCACTGAAGGATCAGCCTGGCAAATGGTGTGTTGTGAGCCTGTGGGGAGGAGAGGCTCGCACAGCTCCTGCCTGTGAGTGGGGATGAACAGATCCTGCCTGTGAGTGGGGATAAACAGATCCTACCTGGGAGTGAGGATAAATATCTCCTGCCTGTGAGTGGGGATAAATATCTGCCTGTGAGTGGGGATAAACAGATCCTACCTGGGAGTGAGGATAAATATCTCCTGTCAGTGAGTGGGGATAAACAGATCCTACCTGGGAGTGGGGATAAATATCTCCTGCCTGTGAGTGGGGATGAACAGATCCTGCCTGTGAGTGGGGATAAACAGATCCTACCTGGGAGTGGCGATAAATATCTCCTACCTGTGAGTGGGGATGCACAGGTAGGCTTTGCCAGCACAGGTTTGGCATTGCCACCTCCCTGGCTGCCTTGTGGTTTGTCACTGAGCCCCTTCCCAATGCATTGCTGTGCTGCAGGTTTGTCACTGAGCCCCTTCCCAATGCATTGCTGCTGCTGCAGGTTTGTCACTGAGCCCCTTCCCAATGCATTGCTGTGCTGCAGGTTTGTCACTGAGCCCCTTCCCAATGCATTGCTGTGCTGCAGGTTTGTCACTGAGCCCCTTCCCAATGCATTGCTGCTGCTGCAGGTTTGTCACTGAGCCCCTTCCCAATGCATTGCTGTGCTGCAGGTTTGTCACTGAGCCCCTTCCCAATGCATTGCTGTGCTGCAGGTTTGTCTCCATCCAGTGCTGACCTTAGTGTGCAAGGGTTTGGCGCTTGTCCTGAGCCTGGGGTGCAGGCAAGTTCACATTTCAGCCTTTAAACTCACTGAGGGCTGTAAACGTTGGTTCTGATCCTTTGGGAGGTACCTCTTGCTCATCAGTGATCTGTGGCTGCTGGCACCCTGCTCCTGATCGCATTTAGCTGTTCTGGGGTGCTCAGGGGTGCTGACATTTAACCTGAAACACCTGGGAGGCTCCTGGGCCTCCCACTGGCTCTGGCTCAGAGCAGTTTCTGCAGAAGGGACCAGGTCAGGGACTGGCACAGGGCTCTGGGACCACTGAGCCTTTTCATTTCAGGCACCAGGATGGAGGAGTGTAAATATTCCTTATTTCAGGAGAGTAAACATCACTCAGCTGCTGCTTCCACAGCTTGAGTTCAGGGTTTGCACATGTCTGTACACACATGCAGAGTGAGCTGTGGCTGGTGAGGCTGATGGGGAGGGATTGTGGATAATTCCTTGACAAAGGCTTTCCAGGAATATCCTCCCTGTGGAAGTGTGTGCTGTGCACAGAGCCCGTGGCTTTGTTCCTTGGATGATGGAAGTGTTGACTCATTAGGTGAAACACGAAAGGATTTAATTGTGAGGATGGTTGCTACAAAACCTGCAGCGTTCAGGCTGCTAAAGGTTCAGAAAATGAGGCTGGTTGGGGTGATTTCCAAGAGAATTTTTACATCCATGCATTGAAGCTCTAATTTAAAAGCAGCTTTTAGTGTGGGAATATGAATGTAACCCTTCAGAAGTAGGGCACATCTGGTGAGGATCACAAGCCCAAAGGCAGAATGACTCTGTGCCATGTGTCAGGGAGATGCTGCAGCTCCAGTGGGACGTTTGACACGAGATGGGGCAGTGAGCAATGCCCAGGCTGGCAGGGACTGCAGGGGCTCCGCAGGGCACTCAGCATTTCCTCACTCTGTTCTGCAAAGCTCATGGAAAACCCTTTTATTTTTATTTTTATTTTTGTTAATTTCCTTTCAGAGCATTTGCTGCTTCGTCATTGCTAAACTCAGTGACTGAACACATCAGATGTTGAACTTGTCTGAGTTCTGGGTGGCTGATGTGAGTGCCTCTGTCAGTATTCTCCTCTTCAGAGTTCCTGCCATCCCCAGCGTTGCTGTGCACCTGGATAAACTTGTTTTTCTTATCAGCCTGGCCCCTGGTGCTTTGGAGCCCCGTAACTGGATGTCATCATTGCTTTGGGCCTGGCAGGCAGCCAGCAGAGTGAGATTTCATCCGCAGGAGATGCCACAGCCCTCACTGTGTGCCAGCCATTCCCAGGGCTGCTGGCTGTGCCTGCTGCCTGATCCAGCCCGGGGAAACGAGCCTTGCACAGCCCACACAGCAAAAATCGAACCGAGGTTCTGTGAGTTGTGGCGCTGTGTGTGTGGAGCCTCAGTCACTGCTGGGGGAGCAGGGTGTGCATGGATGGCCCAGCTGCTCCTCAGCAGGGACTGCAAGTGGCCAAGAGCACCGGGAGTGCCAGGAAATGTGGGATAAAGCTGGGATAACCAGGGCTGTGGGGATGCTGGGTGTGGTGGAATTGCTGGATTAATTCCTGATAACCAGGAAATCTGGGATAACCAGGGCTGTGGGGATGCTGGGTGTGGTGGAATTGCTGGATTAATTCCTGATCATCCAGGAAATCTGGGATAACCAGGGCTGCAGGACTGCTGGGATGTGCTGGAATTGCTGGATTAATTCCTGATAACCAGGGCTGTGGGAGTGCTGGGATATGGAGGAATTGCTGGATTAATTCCTGATAACCAGGAAATCTGGGATAACCAGGGCTGTGGGGATGCTGGGTGTGGTGGAATTGCTGGATTAATTCCTGATAACCAGGAAATCTGGGATAACCAGGGCTGCAGGACTGCTGGGATGTGCTGGAATTGCTGGATTAATTCCTGATAACCAGGGCTGTGGGAGTGCTGGGATATGGAGGAATTGCTGGATTAATTCCTGATCATCCAGGAAATCTGGGATAACCAGGGCTGTGGGAGTGCTGGGATATGGAGGAATTGCTGGATTAATTCCTGATCATCCAGGAAATCTGGGATAACCAGGGCTGTGGGGATGCTGGGTGTGGTGGAATTGCTGGATTAATTCCTGATAACCAGGAAATGTGGGGTGATCAGGGCTGCAGGACTGCTGGGATATGCTGGAATTGCTGGATTAATTCCTGATCATCCAGGAAATCTGGGATAACCAGGGCTGCAGGACTGCTGGGATGTGCTGGAATTGCTGGATTAATTCCTGATAACCAGGGCTGTGGGAGTGCTGGGATATGGAGGAATTGCTGGATTAATTCCTGATCATCCAGGAAATCTGGGATAACCAGGGCTGCGGGACTGCTGGGATGTGCTGGAATTGCTGGATTAATTCCTGATAACCAGGGCTGTGGGAGTGCTGGGATATGGAGGAATTGCTGGATTAATTCCTGATCATCCAGGAAATCTGGGATAACCAGGGCTGTGGGGATGCTGGGATATGGAGGAATTGCTGGATTAATTCCTGATCATCCAGGAAATCTGGGATAACCAGGGCTGCAGGACTGCTGGGATGTGCTGGAATTGCTGGAGCTCCCAAATGAGCTGGATTTGAAATGTGCCTTATAAAACCCAGAGATTTTGGAGGTTTTCTGTAGAAACCCAGAAAAGCCCGTGGAAAATCCCTGCCAGGACAGTGGTGTTTGTTGTCCCTGCTGTGTTTGGAGCAGCAGCTCCTTCTCTGTGTGTCACAGGGGTCGCCAGGACGTTCCCTTGAGTGTTTGCCTGGCTCTGGGGTTGGCATCTCTCTGTTTAGCAAGCTGTGTGCGAGCTTGCTGAGCTCCAAGGTCAGGATCATTAATCAGGCGCTTCTCTCCCATCCGTGCTGTGTTTTCATTCCGAGGGCACTGCTTTTGTTGTAGTTATTGCCAAGACTGTTTTGAACACAACAGACCTTATGTTACAGCCGCCTTGGAGAGCGCGGTTGTCAAAAGCAAACAGAAATAATTACTGTGTTTCTGTCTTGTCAAATGCAATTCGAGAAAGCGCAGGCCTTCCCTGAGGTAAATCTAATTTAAGTTTGCTGTGTTTCATCTGTGATTGGTTGCCTTGGTTTTCTTCACAATTAGAAGAGAAAATATGTTGGTGCTCGGTTCTTAATGGCGAGCTGACCACGAAAAATCTGATTTACTTTCCTCTCTTGTCTTGGTCTGGTTCACAGGCCGTGACCTGGTCATTGTTATTAACTCAATCCAGAGTGGTCTTTAAATTCCTTTCTTTTTGTTTTCCTAGCAAAATGTCTATTCAAATCAAAGTCAATTTTTATGCAGTTAATTCCCTTATTTATCATCATAAATAGTTTCTATTTTTAGACCACGCTCAGAATAAATTACACAATATGCAAATGCAGTGGTGGTTCTTTCAGAGTTTAGGCTGTGTTTGAATTTATCCTGTTGTTATGCTGTTTCTTGGAGGCACAGAAGTTAATGCCCATTATTGTAAAATCTTGTGTTTTCAAAGATTGCGTTTATATCGAAAGCCGCCGGCCGAACACGCCCTATTTCATCTGCAGCATTCAAGACTTCAAACTGGTAAGGAACATTTTCAGCTCTCCTCCCTTCCCCTGCCCCAGGCTCCAGGGGGGATATTCCCTAGCCTGGATCCCTTCCTGCAGCTCTGAGTGAGGCTTTACCCTGTAAACCCGGAGCTGGCTTTTGTTAAACCCCAGCTCTGTCTTTGGGCAGCCCCAGCAGCTGAGGCTGAGATCCCCGGCGTGTTCAGCTGAGCACAAACCTGAGCTTTGAGCTGTGCTGTGGGCAAACTGGGGCTCAGGAAGGGCGCTTGGGCTGTGCCTTGTCCAGCACAGCCCTGGCAGCCTGTGCATCTCAGCTGGCCGTGGGCTGGGGGCACCCCACCAGGGTGGCCAGTTCAGTGGGGAGAAACAGAAAATAACGTGGGAGGAGTGTTAGCACTTCATTCCCTAGCAGCGAGACTCAGGGAGCTGAGCAGGAACAAATCAGAGCAGGGTTTGCCCCTTTCTGTGTGACTGCAGCCCTGGGGGTTCAGCCTGTCCCCCTGTGCCCCTCCCAGAGGTGCCCAAATCTCCTGCTCACAGCCAGGGCACAGCCTTGGCACCTGGCACAGTTCTGTGGGCAGGACATTTGGGCATCTCTGGGAGTTTTTCTGCTGCTCCTCATTGCTGTATTGAGTCCTGAGCAGATAATAAACTCTCCTTATCAATGTATTGTCCACAGCCATAGATCACCCAGGCTGCTGCTATCAGAATAAACCTGCCTTCATTCCTTCCAGGCTTTTCCAGTTATTCTGTGAGAATCTGAGATGTTCCTCAGTGCTGCTGTCCCTGCTGGTGCTTGGCACCTGTGGGTTTGTTCCCTCTTTGCTCCCCCTGTTTTTGGGGAGTCCCCGGGTTTGCAGGGCCCTTTGGGTCTGCCTGGTTCCAGTCCTGTGGGTGCTGCTGAGCTGCAGGAATTGCTCAGGAGGTGACAAAAAGCTGCAGCCTCTGGGGCTGGGCCACTCGTTTCAGCTCTGGGAATTGCAGCTTTGGTACCTTTGGATGGTTTGGAAGTGGTTTCTCTTCACTTGTGTTTTCAGCACACAAAGGACTTGGCACCAGGGCTGCTGGCAATTGTGCATAATTTTTGACATGGAAACAGTGTCTCTGTTCTATGTTTACTTTTGCCTGCTCAGAGCCTTGAATTTCTCTGTTAATTTAATTTTTCTCACTGACATAAGGCATAAAAGGAACTTGTATAAATGACAAAACCAAAACCCTCTTGATGCTGATTATACCAGCAAAACGAAATCCCCAGTGTGTGTGTGGCTGCTGATTTTCCTGTTGGGGAGAGGGAGGATGAGCAGTGGAAAGGACACTTGGTTTCTCTTCTGGTGTGAGATACCAACAGCAAAACAGCCTTGTTTTGCCTTCAGCTAAATATGTCAAGTGAAGCAGGAAAGTTAAAGTCAACAGCTTTGAAATGTCGCCCACTAATTAAATACATTATGTGTTGGTTGTCACAAAATAAAAGTTTCTGGCTGAGTGTGTGAGCCTTACCTTATGCTTCCCCTGTTCTAGGTGCAGTGTGAGGACAGGAATTATGGGGGTGTTTTACTGATAAAACAGGAACATAAAGTTATATTTAATAAAATCAGAGGGAGTTACAGATGACCCAGTGAAAATCAGGACGTCCTTGCTGCACCAGGATCACTGTGGTGGTTCAGGTCTTGTTTGGAATTTTGCAGAACTTTGAGCAGCTCTCAGGGAATCCTCTGGTTTATTTCTGCCCTCCAGCACTGAAGTGTGTGAGTGTTGGCTGGTACCAGTGCAGTTTCCTTTTCCTGTCCTCACAGAAGGATGGGGTGGCAGGGCAGGTGAGGAGGTGTCATATCCTTAAATGCTTTTCTTTGTTCACTTCACCTCACCAGTGTGAATTATTGAGCTTAAAACATTTTAAGAGTGAAATTGCTGTTGTCTCTCAGAATAGTATGTGATAGTTGTCTGAATTTTTAAAAAAGGCAGTGGATGATTTTTCTCTCTGCCGATTGGGTTATTCTGTGCTGTCTGTGTCCCAGAACATTTTATTAATCTCTTTTTGGTGCTAGTTCATTTTCTTTGGATTAATGCTATCCTCTTTCAGGATTCAAGACCAGATTATTCTTGAGGACTTTGATTAGGAGCAAGCTGTGGTGAGGCAGGATTCAATCTGAGTTTGCTCTATTGCCTTACATGTTTTTATTGGTTATCAGCTCCCCTTCATTGCTGGTATTCAATATTTGCTCTCCCTCCTCTCGGGGCAGCTGGGTTCAAGTGGTCCCCTGGAAATCTGGATTATGCAAAGTCAAGATTGGCTTTAAAGCAACTTTCCTACCTTGTTTTTCCCTTGGGGAGCACTTCTTCCCCAGTTTAAGCCTGTCCTATCCAGCTTACAGTGTCAGTTACTTTAAAAATATTGTTTTTAAAAAAGGGAAACAGCAAAATGTAATTGGGAAGGTGGAGAAAGCCTGTGAAGGGGCAGAGAAATGTGACTTGAATACTTTGCTGGCATTGCCTGCTGAGCAGCTTTAAGGAGGAAAATGTTGTTTTGAGGATGGTGAGAGTGGGGTCCTTAGCTTGGGATTCAGGCTTTGCTTGCTCTGGCTGTTTTTGTTCCAGAACAATCTTACAGCTTGGGCTTTAAATTACGCAGGCAAATCAATAAAATGGAACAGTAAATGCTCTGCTGCATTAAAAAAACATCAGTTTCTCTGATTATTTTTTCCTGTGGAAAACGTTCAGGTTGTTTACATCAGGAATTGTCTCCTGGATGTCAATCTGCTCGTTCCCCTTCACTCTGCAGCAGCACCAGTGCATTTTGAGCAGTGCAGTTGTTCCCACAGCAGCCTGCTGCTGTCAGAAATGCCCATTTCCTATTCATCAGCAGCTTAGGGAAGCATGCTTTCCTTCATTCTCATTTGGCACGAGTCAAACACGTTAAAAACCCACAGGCTTGACAGAGAGTTCCTTAAATGCTCTGTGGGGCCGCAGATGCCTGCTCAGAGCCCAGGCAGCAGGGCAGGGCTGGCACGAGAGTGGCACCTGGCATTTCTGGGGGAAATGGCCAAGGGTCTGCCCTGCCAGCCCTGTGTGCCATCCACACCCTGCCCCTTCTGCTGCTTCCTTCCCCCCCAAAAGGAAACGAGCCCTCCTGTCAAAAATGCGCTTTCAATTGGACAGTGCTGTGTTTTGAGAGTGGAAATTCTCACTGAATTTCCTTTCAGATCGGGCCATTTGAAAAAACAGATTTGTATTTTCTTCAGGCTGAGGGTATGGCTTCAGAGCTAAAGGGTTTTTAAATCAAATAGTAGTATTTAATGTGTTTCTTTTGTAGTTTACAGTGATTGTAATACAAAGAATTATAAACAGCGAAATTTCCTTTTATCTCTTTGTTTGTGGTTAGCAAGTCCTAAAATTCTGTCCATTCTCTTTATCTTAATTAAAATGTTGATTGTGATTACTTCTGGCTGATGAAAACACACAATTAAAACTCAGCTGAGTGACTTGTGTGAGAAAATCCAATAAATGTGCAGAAGTTCAGTTCCTGTGTGCGCCCAGTGGGTTAAGGGACATTTTATAACCCCACACCCAGATATAGAAATTAAACCTGATTGAGGGAGCATGCTGTGATGGGGAATCCAGCAGGAATATCCCCGTGAACCCGTCAGGATCTCAGCAAAGCTCTCTGTGCACAGGGCAAGTGTCCCCAGCTCTGCTGTCCCTGTGAAGCCGCCTCAGAGTGGCTGTGAGCAATACAACCCTGCAGTGTTCCTTACAGCATTGTTTTATCCCAATCAAAGTGTCTTCCTCACCTGAATAGCCAGCTGTTGGCTTTAAATATATGGTGCAACAGCAGTAATTACATTTCAGATATGAATATGTTAATTATGCAGTGCCTGTAAACCCATGCGGATCCAGCTTTGATTAAGGCTCAATTTAAATATCAAAAGTAGTGCAGAGCCATGTCTGTGGGAAAAAAAAAAAGGCTTTATCTGCTGCAGAGATCAGAGTGGGAGAAGTTCACTGAATTTTGGTGTTTGGGAGAGGGACAGGATCACGAGGTGGGATTGCCTGGGTGCTGAGCTGGGCCAGGGAGGCTCTGCTGGTTTGGGGATGGTCCTGGAGCAGCTCAGGTGAGCTCAGTGCTGGTTTGGGTGAGCTCAGGTGAGCTCAGTGCTGGTTTGGGTGAGCTCAGGTGAGCTCAGTGCTGGTTTGGGTGAGCTCAGGTGAGCTCAGTGCTGGTTTATGTGAGCTCAGGTGAGCTCAGTGCTGGTTTATGTGAGCTCAGGTGAGCTCAGTGCTGGTTTGGGTGAGCTCAGGTGAGCTCAGTGCTGGTTTATGTGAGCTCAGGTGAGCTCAGTGCTGGTTTGGGTGAGCTCAGGTGAGCTCAGTGCTGGTTTGGGTGAGCTCTGATGGCTGTGCTGGTTTGGGGATGGTCCTGGAGCAGCTCAGGTGAGCTCTGTGCTGCTTTGGGTGAGCTCTGGTGGCTGTGCTGGTTTGGGAATGGTCCTGGGTGAGCTCAGGTGAGCTCAGTGCTGGTTTGGGTGAGCTCTGGTGGCTGTGCTGGTTTGGGGATGGTCCTGGAGCAGCTCAGGTGAGCTCTGTGCTGCTTTGGGTGAGCTCTGATGGGTGTGCTGGTTTGGGAATGGTCCTGGAGCAGCTCAGGTGAGCTCAGTGCTGGTTTGGGTGAGCTCAGGTGAGCTCAGTGCTGGTTTGGGTGAGCTCAGGTGAGCTCAGTGCTGGTTTGGGTGAGCTCAGGTGAGCTCAGTGCTGGTTTATGTGAGCTCAGGTGAGCTCAGTGCTGGTTTGGGTGAGCTCAGGTGAGCTCTGCTGGTTTGGGTGAGCTCAGGTGAGCTCAGTGCTGGTTTGGGTGAGCTCAGGTGGGCTCTGCTGGTTTATGTGAGCTCAGGTGAGCTCAGTGCTGGTTTGGGTGAGCTCAGGTGAGCTCAGTGCTGGTTTGGGTGAGCTCAGGTGAGCTCTGTGCTGGTTTGGGTGAGCTCAGGTGAGCTCAGTGCTGGTTTGGGTGAGCTCAGGTGAGCT